GCGCTGTGACACGGGAATGCTGGTTATAGACGTTCCTGATGGAACGTACGCGAAAACTGAAGATTCCATCGAAAGTGGGTCAATCGAAGAGGCAGCCGTCTGCTGGAAAAGCTCCGAGCCCCGGGTCCATTGTCGCTTCGAGTGGTCGAGCGTGCTTGGCGTCGAGAGAATTACCTCTTATACCCGTTCCACTGCGCCTTTTTTTCTTCGAGATCTTCTTGCCAATTAAAGCTTCAGACTGGACGTCTAGCTCGAAGCATTGCTCGATAAGGAAGTTCCCGATGGCGGTTCCGCCTTCCTGCGGAATTTCACGAGCCATTGACACTCCTGGCTTTGATGAGCCTCGTTGCTACATGCTCGATAGTTCTCTTTAGCATTGTGAGCGTTCCCAGACCCTCTGAATTTCATATGGCCACATTCCATCGACTCCAGAATCGTCTTTTCTTTCGTTGAAATTTCGTTGGGAAGTTAGTATTACCTTGCAGGAAGAAACCTTGGGAATTCGAGAAGAAGTTATGTTTAATTTTGACACAGTGATAAATTTTTCTTTGCAATTTCTCCATTACACCTCTGTCGATTGCGAGCTTTAGGATGATGCTGGAAGTTATTGCTGTGAAAATGATATCGTGAAGTTAATAGCTTTCACTATTTGATATAAGTACATTTATATTTGTATTTCTAATGCGTATAATTTTAATGCGTCAGTTATAACTCTGTAAACATCGAGAAACTTATAACGACAGCTTTATCTAAAATTTAAAAAGATAATTTCGGTTACGATAGTAACTTTCAGCAACTTATCAAATCTTTTCACACTTTTAAAAATATATGAGGCAAATGTTCGTTCACTAAATGATTTGCTGCAAATTTATTATTGTAACAAATTTCGATAGCAGCTTTTAAATTTCTTTAGTAATTTAATGGTCTCATTACCTGATCATTAAACCTTTTGGTCACTACACGCCATTATCTACCACTTTCAACAAAATAAAATAAACAACTGCTTGCTAATGGGGACACGGGATAGCTAATGGTATTATTAATCCTAATTAGTAGTCCATCCGACCAATTACTGTAATTCCTGTACACTTATGAACTTCAATCGCAATTCGCCACACCAGCAAACAAAAATTACGACTCCGTCAAAATCTGGCTCGCGCATGTCCGTGTTGAGGCGGGTCCACATAGATGTTCGCGAGCAGTTCGGAAAGCAGCTTGCCAAACATGTTCGCCGGCAGTGTGGACAGTTTTGCGATCAGCGAACAGTCGTCTCACGAACAGTTCTCTTGGGAGGTGGTATATCAAACGATCTGTTGACGAATTTGAATCGTCTCTGGGCATGTTTATTTAGAGATTTAGAGAAAACGTGCAAAATACTATTGAATAATAACGTGATCGACTCACGCGATAAAAACAATTGAAAACATAATAACATTTCGTTTCTTTCGTTTAGAAACATAACTGTTGAAGCAATTAACTCGAGAACTGTTTGTCTCAGTTTCTCCTACCAAATGAACAAGTTACCAACTACTTAACCCTTAGCCAACCAAATGGAGAGATCTCTCACTTTTCTCTTAGCAACGCATTACCATTCATTTTGTTTATCTTTTTCGATGTAGTAGTCTTGAACTGCAAATATTTGAAATTCATTAAATACGTTTCTCGCTTTTATAAAATATAATTTTTAATGAAGTCTGTTAGATGAGTGCAATTATATTTAAATGAATGAAAAAGGTTATAGTTATAGTTCTTTCCTCAGGCGATTGTATAAATGTTAAGGAAATGACTTGATATCTAGCGAAGAGGCACACGGGCAAGAGGAGTCGTTCGCTGTGTATTCTGTTTATAGCTTTGATTGCTTACCTATAACTGCATCGATGAATAGAAAATTAATATCATAGGAAAGATGAGAACTGACGAATTAAACCCACATTCTTTAACCTAGGCGTCAAGTCATCTGTCTACAGTACTTGCGATAAACTAGCGAGCTGCAGTCTGAATGTCATACTATTTTTACTTATAGCTTTGATTGGTTACCTATAACCGTATTGACAAATAGGAAATTAGCACCTTAAGAAAGATTAGAACTAACGAATCAGACCTATATTCCTCAGCCTAGCCAGCAAGTTATCTGCTTAGAGTACTTGCGATCAACTAGCGAGCTCTAGTCTAAATGTCATACTATTTTTCTCAGCAAGTAGTTCGCGAACAGTTCTTTTCAGTCTAGACTGGGCCTTATGTTCCTTGCACGTTACAGCGTCCTCGAACGTTGTCCTCGAAAGCAGCACGAAAGCTGCCTGTTTCCGTAATTTTTCTTTAAACCGTTCTGGGGCGTTGCCGTAGCCGCGGAGGAAGTTCGAAAGGCCGCGAAGAGAAGCTGCCGTAAATCGGCAACTCAATAAAGCAGGACATAACACTTTGTCTCGAGTATAAGTGCACTTGGTGACTTACGAGCCACGTCTGGAAAGGCGGTTTGTATCACGTATAAGAAGAGGCCCCCGCGCTAGAACTCGAAAGGTCGCGGCCAGGGCGGAGAATGACCCGCGAGAAAACTACACCGTTGGTGAAACAATACCCATATATATCTAGTCCATGTTTCGTTGACCGCATCAACAAATAAATTTATTATAGTCAACGGAATACGACGTAATAATCTTATCAGTTGAATATCAGACCGACTGTAGAGATAGTTCTTTTATCCCTTTTGCCTTTTCAACAATTGAAACATTCAGGAATTGACTTTCGAAGATTTTGATACCCTGCTGTCAAATAAGAGATAAGTAAATCAGTAAATAAGTTTGATTGAATTTTTTATCTTTCTTTTAAATGATTGAAAAATCTAATTTAACTCATATAATCATTCATAAATGTACGGTATGGACCAGTAAGTGTATAGTGTGTAGTAAAAAGTTATTATAAGTACTAATAAATTTTTCGTAATTTTTTCAAAGGGGTCTTCGTCTTTTTACGACGCATAAAATTAAAAAGTTTTTATTAAGAAAGCTGAAAAAGTAAAACTTCAAAAATTGTTTAAAAATATAAAAAGGAATCTTAAAAACGGGAGGAAAGTCATATATCCTATAGCTGTATATCACGGTTCAATGTAACAAACTCAAGTGTATCTCAAAAGGTAAGAAGTTCAGAACTTATATTTATATTATTTTCCTTCATTCACGTAAATAGTAGAATATGATATCAAGATTCGACTACCTATTTGTGTATCACTTTATATATTTGACGCAGTTATTAATGTAACTGCCACGTAATTTGTGTTTAAGACTTATGAGCTTTTATCGTAATCTCTACACAACGCCCGGCAGATGTACTTGGAATACGTAACTAACGATCAGTATGCAGAATGCGGAGTTTTGTCAAACACTATGTGCAGGAAAACGTTTTGCATTTCGAACAGCCGAGATAATCATCTTATTTACGATTCAATTACACAGTTTATCGAAATCCGCGCCGAATGGTGGCTCTATTTCTCCAGATAATACACACAATTTATCTTCCTTATTATTCGATCGTTTGACGTTTCTCAATAATTTACTGGGTCCGCCGCAATTATTGGCTACAACAATTCGGTTGTTTCAAAGGAGATTTCGGTATCATGATCCAATAACTGAAGAATATTGATTACAATGAAAATCTTCAAAACACTATTTCTTTTCAATCTGATACCTTCAATACAAGAGAAAAATGAATATCTCCTACTTAATATTCATTATTTCAATCTTCTCCTAAATAGTCTTCAATTGCTCTTAACCAATAGGCACGCATAATATGCTATTAATCTTTTAAACATTACATAAATGTTATTTACAGTTTTTATCTTCCTTTTCAATTTTATAAAATGTAAAATTAGACAAAACCCATTTTTAGTTCCCAGTTTTTTTCTATCGTTGCATTTTGTGCACTCACGCTCGCTTTAACCACATAAAATTTGCAACGCAATGTATTCGTGAGCATAGTTTTTCAACTTGTACATTTACAACACACAATGCATAATAAATTTAATCCACATGCGCACTAACGTTCTGTAAAGTTCCTGATACCGTTTGGAACCCGTATTTCGTGGTGGAATTTAGTTGAATGTGTAACTCGTGCGTCGACCTCGCGCAAGAACAGGTGAAAATCCGAGGAATGCTGCGGCCATCGCTGTGGCAAGAATCGCAATGCGGGAACACGGCGATCGCGATCGCAAAAACGCATTATCGGCATCTGGAAGGGACGCCAGATTCAGTTAGGTTCGCTGAAACTTCTGGTTACTATAAACTGTAACGAGACGATTCAGGTTTTACTTAGACAAAGACACCTACGCGAAACATGATCGTTTTTGGTTCTGGCTTTATACAGTTCATGATAATTCAACTAATTCTGCTCGAACTTTATTAACCCTTTGTGCCACGAAGACACTTTTCAACGACATTTATATTAAAATGTTAATTTAAATGATATTTGTGTACATCTTTCGTTTCTTCCAAATGAATTTAATTTCGTTTAATTTGAAATGTATCGTATCCACGTTTTTATGTTTTGATCTTTTTTCAATTTGTATCCAAGTATAAATTTCTGTTCTACTAGTAATAAAAAAGACATAGAATTAATACATAGTAATTGTAACAATATTAAAGTATGTGACACATCTTCCTTTGAAGCATTTTAATATATAAAATTAATCAATTCAGTTAAGATGGAAATATGTAGAAAACTGTTAAGCTTTCGAACTAACAACATAAATTAAGGAATATTCGTAATGTTCATTTATGGTATCTATATTTCCATTAATTTATTAAATGTGACATTTTTTAGAAGCGAAACATTTAGTTTGAAGTATCGACGAAAGTCGTGAACTCTCGATCGACTTCGAAAGTATTCCTTTGAGAAAACGGCATCGGTAATGAAATCAACTCTTTAAAATGGTACCTCGAAGATGTAATTATATTTAATGCGACGTTAAAAATAGAAACGGTGAATTTAATATTTCTTCTTTGTTTCAGATGAGTTCAGGAGCAAGGTTGCTTGCGAGAACGACGTGATCAATCTTGTTTGCTATCCTGGACAAAGGGTAGCCATTTTTAGTGCGTCGTTCGGTAGAACGGAACATGAATCACTTCAGTGTCCACAGCCACGCGGTGTCAAAGAAGAAAGTAAGTAAATTAACAAATTTCAGTCACCTTAGTATTATGATGCTGTAAATAATTAAATTACTAATTTTTCGTTATTCAAGAATTAAAAATTCAATTTTTTCTATATTACTTTCTATACATCATATACACCAATAATTTATTCATAAATTAATAATACGGATAATTTGTCTTTGTTACTATTATTGTCAAGCTACAGTTTTCTACTTAAAACAATATATTTATCAATTTCTGTGACTGGTTTATATTAATTATTTAAATATAGATATTTAATAATTATAATTTAAGTTACACTGTCATTAACAGATTTATTAGAAACCTTTAGAAAAGGTCTTAGTCATTTTCTTTGACTTATGAAGGATGAAGTTATAGAAAGTAATCATCAAAAAGTAATCGGAAGTTAGTTAGGTCATTAAATATTTATGCGGGCGTAAACATTCATGGACGGGTTAAATAAAGCACTCATAGAATATACGACATAACCTCAACTTATGAATTTCAGGATGCTTTGTTCGGTATGAATTCATGTTACCTACTCCGAGTTTTAGTTCTACTAAACTGTTGCACTTCATTTTTCACTTTAACGACACATCAACAATCACTGTGTATACATACAATCGAAAATGTCTAATATATTTCTGCTACATATTTACGGGTTCTTTAACTATTTATAAATCAACGGTTTGATGCACGTGTGAATATGTATTAATCTTAATAATAGTACTCGAGTTTATAGAGGAAGTTTATTAACGATTCACTAAAAGTTAATACTTTAATCTTCCTAAGGATCTATCTATAACTAAATTGGACACTTAAATCATAAACTTTTGAATGAATCATTCAACTTAAAGTTTGTCAATCTGCACATAACGTGAAAAAGAAAAAATACCTGTATGCAAGTAATTTTAGTTAAAAAGAAAATAGTAAAAAATATGTAATAAAATTATTTTATGGTAGTCCGTGCTCTCGATTAATTTGTAAATACAACTATCACTAAATCAGTTTGCAAAATTTGAATTAAACTGAAATGAATATTGGATAAATTGTAACACGCGTGTCTTCATATTCTTTACCTCTATTTTTAAAGTTAAATGCAGCACAGAAGTTTATTAAGTAGTGTGCTAATTCATTTCTTGTTCTATTCTGAATAATAATAATATCTGTGAAGTATAAAATTTGTAAATAAATCGCCGGTGTTTTTAACGAGTAGAAATACATATTAATAGTCAGACGTAAAACCTTGAAAATTGTTTTGTACAAACAAAATAAAGTGAATAATTAACAAGATGTTTGTCAGTAAAAATCATTTCTCACATTGGGACGCACAAATTTCTAAATTTATGAATCTTCTGTTTCAAATACTTAATATAATTTTGTAATTATTAATTTTTTCATTGAGGTCGCATATTTTCGTTAATTCAATTGCCAAACAGGAAAATTGTCAACACATATTTCTTTCTATGTATTCTATCGAACGATTCGAGTCGTCCGAATTTTCAACAGTTCTTTACGAGGAACCCAAACAGTGCTCGGGTCACGACCAACCCCTTCGTGACGGTATTCTCATGAGTACGACATCTTCGAGAACATTGAAATACCATTGGCCACGTATTACTCCCCGCAAAAAGATTCTTTTATTCGCTCTCCAGCATATCTCTACAACTTTAAATTCTAACTTACTTGGAAAAATTAATGCAAGAATGATGCATTTGCATTCAAGAAAAACATAATATTTTGATGCAAGATAATTTCGTAAAATTACAAATACTGGAATACTGTTTCATAAACTTTCTCTAAAAAATGCTATAAAGAAAGTTCACTTTTGTAATTGTAGATCAAACTAATTATAAATAGTAATTGTTATTTCCCCTTCGCAAAAGAAATTGAAATGTTGATTATCCTTTTGAATTCAAAGTAAGTCCTTTGTCACATTCTCGCTGTAAATTGACCTTTGACTTCATTCACTTTCTTCCACGTTCAATTTATCTGATCTTAATCAGTTTAGACTTGTATGTGTGTTTGTCGCACAACATATTACATAGTTCTGCTCGTCGTTTGCACAAAGGAAACTGCTATAACGTTGGCAAGTGTAAGTGGCCCCTGCATCTGACACATTTCGAGATTCTAGAGGCCACAATGAGGGAAAATTAGTTTCTGGTTGAATTTATTGGAGCTAATAAATACTGTAGTTTTATATGATACTAAATGAGTGCGGAGTAGACAATTATTATATTTTTAAACGAGAAATGAGGAGAAATTCTTTGTTCTTTATTCTTTTGATGCAACGCGATAGAGAAAGATATTCTTATTGTATTTTTTCCTTGTATATTTTAAAATGTAAGCAAATTTTTATTAATTACTAATGTATAAACAGAATACTATATATTATGCTGACATAAAGTACATGAATATATTTAAATACAATTTGAGATATGCTGTACGAGTGATTAAAATATCAAATAATCGGAGAAGAATATAAAGAAATCATAAACAAATATGCAATAATGAAATAATATTAAATTTAAATAATAATTAAGGAACTTTCATAAATGAATATTTTATTTGGTAAAATTAATTTACTTTTCAGTCTAATTCGAAAAGTCATTTACGCGAAGAAGAAATTTTTCACATGAAACCTATCGTCCAATTTTTATTTCTGCAGAAATCAACATCAAAATTTTCTTTTATGTTGTCAATCCAGTTAAAAGGTTGTTTATGGACACAGAACATAGAACGATTTTTCTCAATTGACACGCGCGTGATTGATCAATGCAGTATTGGCGTCAAATGCTGGATGATTAGTCATATATTGTTAAAGCTGTCATTTCCATTGCACATGGCCAAGTAGTCACAGTCAGCCGCTAAACCGGCATTCCATTTCCAATTGACTAACGATCCGACGCGATTCATACCGAATCGAAAAACCATTTTTAACGAAGCATCGTGAACGGACATGTTGAATAGATCAATTTCGCCTGTTTACAGCGTGCATTGCGTCATATGCCACGGAAACCGTGATGAATTTGTGCCATGGAAAACGCCGTTGCTCAGTGGTGGCAAACAGTTCGACGTTCGGTGAACCCTGCAGCCCGGATAGTAGAACTTATTTGAGGGTCGTTTACACGTGTGGTGAGTCATTGAACTTTTTTATATTTAATAATTGAGTTTATGTATTCTTGACGCTGGATATAAACTAAACTAAGCTAAACTTTATCAACATTTTATTGACTAAGCTTCACACTTTAAATAAATGTCATCAAATAAGTGACGTTAGTTATTGTTTGTTTAATTATGACTCAGTATCTTAACTTTCGTTTAAGTTTTAAAAACTTAACTTATTTCGTTACTTAGTCAAAGATAATGAGAATTAATTTCCTAGATTAATGAAGTAATTAAAAAATTTCAAATAGTAATTTAGATTTTGTACTTCCCATCTATTAATTGAATTGAATAAGTGGAAGGTAATTAATAATTGATATGAGAATGTTAAGAAAAGTAAAAAATACAGAACGTATTTATTTTATAATTTAAATTTTTGATTTTTGGAATCAATGTGTTATAACATGCTTTTTGTTAGAAACTATCATCTATGTAAGCGTTACTATTTAAAATGTCCAAACATTTCACAATACAGTGTTTTTAGAAAGAGAAATTGATATCACTCAACCAGAAGTGATAACATACTCTGTTTGCAATCACTAGAAAAGTCCAGGTCAAATTTATTGAACATTTTTCTCGGGTGACCAATGAACCGGAACATTTGTTTTCGACGAATGTTGGGCTTCCTCTGATTTCCTATGGAACTGCGCATTCTGGAAAACATTTGCCATTGTATAAATCATTCGATGTTTTTAATTTTAGGATGAAAATAACTGTACAAAGGAAATTTTCAATTTGATCTTTATTGAAAACGAATACAATGAACAATAAAGATCACATTTTCAATTTGATGTTTATTACAAACGAATACGGTAACACGATAAAAAATAAAGATCACATAAATATAAAAGGAATTAATTATATTAAAATGATGTATACATTCTGTTTAAAGTTGGATTCGACTTTGTAAATCAAGTGAATTCACTTTTATACGAGAATATAAATAGTAATAATTTTGTTGAATTGTAAGCAATTTTATTCAAATGATTTTATTGAATGATTTCACAGAAATATATCAAATACAAATTCAAAAGACGCGAAAAATCCTCTTTACATTACAACCTTACAATTAATCCAGTAAATCACGTAATACTATTTTATTATTATTACTATTATATAAATTTTCCAAATTTATAAACATTCATTAAAATCCTTAAAACTCATAATAAATCATTTCAAGATCAAATCTATATTAAATCTACCTCCATTTTACACAACAAATCCAAAACTAAATCATACAGATACCACCAATAATTAAATAAAATAAGTAATTCCCATCTCACAAGATTTCAACTTACAAACCATAATACTATAATTAAACTCAAATCACTGCATAACTTTTACTCCCAAACCAACGATTCACAGCTCGCTCATTCAACTTAACTCTTTGCCTTATAACAACGTGTCAGATTCGTGGTGAAGATTTTCAACATGATTTAACAAAGATAAGTATTACTCGATTTATTCGAATTCAAAGTAAATATTCTTCTTCTGTAACCAATTATTATATTTTATACTAAAACTATAACAGTTAAATTAACTTTTTGAAATTTCTTTATAAAAACTCCAAGAGTAGATCTATTGAGACTTTAATTGATTCGCAATTTAACCTCTGTATTGCTAAATCAATTTCCTTAACCGCTTTTCAAAGAAATATCCGTTATCTTTTTACTAATTACAAAAAGAAGACGTCAGCAATGAGTCTTTTTGACCCATCTTGTAGTTTTAATGTTAAAAGCAAACAGACAGAATATGCCTACAATTTTTCTCATTTTGCAATCAATTATTAATGACAAATTATCATATCGATCAGAGTTGAGAAAGAAACCATAGGGCAAGGGGTTAAATTGATATCCCTCCGGTTTTACGAAATTTCATCAATAACACACATCGAACAACAGCGCGAGTGGTCACTACTGATAATCTAACCGCAATAATTTTACGCGACAAGAGACGATGGCGAGTGCCATTAAAAATATCCGCGGTTGAATCCGGATGAGTTCTCAACCCAGTTAGGATGAAAAGCGATAGAGAGACGCAGCGCGCGGTGGGGGCGAGTCTTCTGGGTTTTCCGCGGTACACAATGAAATAACTTCGTGTTACAAGCGACGGACTTCGCTCGTTATGGCACATTGTGCGCCCGATGCTCGAGCGGTCGGATTCTTGGACGAACAAACGTGGCGGTTGTTAAAGGCCGAGCGGTATCATTATTCCGGAATTTTACGGGAAAATGCACCAGCGAGATGCCGAGCGATACCGTCGCGGGAGTCGTTAGTGGCCCGTGACTAGATACGGGTACGTTTTTTGAAAATTTCACGCTCCGCGGGCCCGCCGCGCCGCTCAGATTACAAAATTGCCCCTCCATGTGGCTCTTTCGTGACTCTTTGTTCTCCGCTCGGTTCATTCTTACTTTTTCTTCCGCTTCTTTATTTTTCTTGCTTTGGTCCCCCGCGGATTGCTAGACCGTTTTGTTCCGGGAACGATCGCCGGGTCAATTTTTTGATAGAGCCAGCGGACGACACAGTTTCCTCGGGCCATATTGTTTCGATGGTCTCGCTGCTCCCGAGGTCGCCTTCCCCAGCTGTTTGTTTAAAGTTTAATGGGATCTGAAACTCGAGAGAACCGCGAATTTTAAACTCCGCCTTCTTCCTCCGTGGTAATTATTGTCTTACCCTTTGACACCGGGGTTGGAGATTCGTTTCCGCTAACGCGAACGTTGGAACGCTTGGAAGGCCGATACGAAAGGAGCACTGTTGGTGTTTTTAGAAGTGTGTGCACTTTGTGAAATAACGAATGCGAGAAACAGAGGGGAACGTGGTGTTTTAAATCCTGTACTTGGTTGAAACTTAATTAAGATAATAAAGAAAGCGAGCAGGTCAGTGTATGGAAGTGAATTTAATTCTGATATGTTCTTGTTTATTCTTTGCGCATGGTTAGGTATTTATCATTTTGGTAACACTTTTTACATTGTTCGATGCAGCTACGCATTATTTTTTTGAAGAGATACTTTTGTACCTCACGAGAATGCAGGGAAGTTTTTAATAACGTATTTTTTCTTTGTCCATGTTACTTTATATGGGTATATAATTTAACTAAGGACTGTGGAAGAGTTAATTACATATGTTTCAAATTATTTTCTTTTTATTTCAACACGTATTAAGATTCTGCTAATATTAATATTAATATTCAATCAATACAATAACTTAAAATTACTTCAAGCAAAACTTTAGTTTAACATATAGAGTATACACTACATCAATTATATCCGCGTGGTACAATACTTTCACCACATTTACCTTCAAAAATTAATTTGCCCTCTAATAAATAGAATAAACCGAATTTCACTCGAATCTGCGAAATTTAAACAGAATAAATTAACAATAAATCTACAATAAACATATGTATTCAAGTTTCCCTTTGAATGAAACAATTATTATGTCACCCCATAAATAATTCGATTTTTTATATTTCTTTTATTTCTGAAAATAGAGATAAATAAAACTGTTTGTAAAGTAGTTATAATGTATAGATAGGCAATTTATAGATAATGAAGGAGAAAATGTTTTAGATTGAAAAGTTCTGTTTATCTTTATTTTTAAAAATAAAAGAGATATAAAAAACCACATCATTTCAATGTCAATAATTTATCAGAAAAAAGATACAATTTGGTACTTATTCTATTCGCCATATTTACTTCAGATGTTAAGGATTCATAATAGAAACGAAATATTTAATTTATATTTAATACAAATAAATAACATTTACATTTGTCGAATTTAGTTTAAAATTTTCATCACGAGTCTGACACGATATCATAGGGCAGGGGGTTGAACGATGTTTATAGACGCTGGTTCGTCAATGAACCTGTTAATGCGAAAAGTAAGCGAAGCGTTTGCCAGTGCAAACGTTGGACGAACACTTCGCGACCGGACCCATCAAGTCACCGTTCGAAAGCGTATGACGGAACGCTAGGGACGAACCCTTTCCATTTAGCACGGCCGAAAATCGGAGAAACTAAGGTATTGAAGGTTGCCATTGGTACGGCGTTCGGGTGGCATACGACCGATAATTATTCACTTCCCGCCGCTTCAAACAATGGCTATTAAGCCAGGGCGCTTTCGTTCGAACTGACTGGCCATTAAGTACAGAAACGAGCCATCCGGAGTGAAAAGCCATCAGCGGAACTTCCCGCGTGCCGGGCTCGCGTCAATCGTCCCCAAGCTTTTTGGGTCAATCGACGGCATTAACGTGGGACCTTCAACCCGGCCGCGACCATTTTGTTGGTTGCTCATTAGGCCGTCCGCAAATTGAGATAGGTTCCGGCATTTTTACCCCGACCAATTATCCTGTGTATCGTTGTCCCATATTATATTACAAAGTAGGCAATCATTGCAATTCTAATTACGTTCAACTTCTACACACTTCGTTACACTGTGCTAACGCAGGCTCTTACAAATATTTAATATTTCGCTGTAGTGGGCACTGGACTGCGGATCTTTATGAAGATTCGAATATTTAAGAATGTAATTAGGAAAATCGAATTACCATAAAAAAAGGTTTTTAATAAATATTTTAAAAGGAACTATACTTGGAGTATTTTATATATTTTTTCGTATCGTGTGTTTTCTGCAATTTTGTACTTTCGAGCTTTCCATAAATGCATCAACAGCTGCAGTATAGTAATCGTATTCCAGGGAATTTTTATTTGGTTGCACATGTAAATTATCTGTACGAAAAAATTTAACTATTTTTATTACATATGTAATTATTCATGTTCTTCTATAGGAATTTATCAAATATTATTTTAGTAACAGTGTGTACAGAATAAGTGGAACATTGTACACGATTAAAAGTATTTATGAATTTCTTATTTTATTCATGGTGTCAATAATACTTCATCATGCATTGATATTAGTGCCGTTATTAATTCTTATTCGCTACGTAATTTTTTATTCAAAAAGAAAGGTGTTGGTTTACGTATCTTTTAAATTATCCGATTGTGTTGTAAAGAATTTTGACTAATGGTTTTATTCTCAGTGTTTTACATAATTTCGTATGTTATAAAAGTATAAATCTGCTATGTATACTTTAGTATCATGAATAACATGGAAAATATAGCTCTTGCCATTTCCACGTCCGACTATACAAATGCTTTCATTTTTCACCTTATATAGGATAAATTACTGCCTTTATTTAGAAATATTTATTGGTAAAAAAGCACACTATTTTTCTGTTGCTTTCCCCCGTGAGAAGAATTATGCTTTTGCTTCACTTCTGTACAGGTTATTTACTTTTTGTTATATGAATTATAAACTTTTAATAATATCAATATTAAATATTAAATATGCATTTAAAATGAAATAACAAGAATCTCCCTTAATGAAATAGTAAATATTACACCAGAATTAAAGAAGAAAATTATTTTGTAGAAAGAGATATTAAGAGTTTACTCTTTCAATTTTACATTAGCAACAAAATGGCATGAACAGTACCATAAATGACAGTGCATCTTCAACTTATTAATTTATTTAAGTGAATAATAGAATTAAAACCTGAAGGTAGTTTAAGATCTCAGAAAAGAAATAACTATTGAGCACTCGATTAAAAGACCGTATAGTAGTATTAATAAAATACTCTTGTTACAATCCTCTTATCTACAATTTTCATTGCATTCGTTTACTATTTAATTATATTTTTTGACTGCAGTTAATACCTATTTAATTACCGTGATTTTTCTTTTTCGTGGAAGGAATAAAATTGTCAGTTTCAATGACTTTCAACTCGTGTACATAAGCCAGAGTCAGACGAAAATGGCGATTGAATAAAAGGTGAAGAAATCAATTTACCTGTTAGAATTTTTTCCCCTTATTGGTTATGCATGCAGGATTACACGCCAGACTATTCTGAATTGCAAAGTAACTCGTCTGTTTAATATCTCGCTGCGAAGGAATATAATCATAAAGTCGCTATCAATTTCCAGGTTTTGTGAATGAAATGGATTGACGCCTTCCGCAAGATAGTGTGATATGCAAACACAAGAATTGAACGCTGTTGTTACTTTTTAATGATTCTCCTTTTGTAAGCTACGTTCGCACTTCAGTTGACACGCTTACTCGATATAAAATTCATTGTATACTAAACGAATGTAATAAAAAAAATTGTAATCTTATTTGAATTTAAAACTGCTGGTTTATATAACAAATATTTGCCTGATCTTCTATGATAATATTTTTAAAGTAATGTGTTAACAAAGAAATAGTTAAAATATATGAAAATTTGGAGTCTCAGGAAGATTAAATGCCAAAAAAATTTTCTAAATGATATAATAAATAATCTGATCCCCTTCGTTAGATCGGAACTTCGTTACGATCAATATTTGAAAATTACAACAGGACGTAATTAATGTCCTAACTTTAAAAAACGGTATATGAAGAAAAGAATATTTTGAAAATAGATGTTGCTAATGAACGAATTCAGACTTTTATCTGATCATCTAACACATTTCCATCCGATAGTCAACAGATTATTTACGTACATTCGTTCGAAATATAAAATATCTGAAAAGTTGAATTCAAATTTCAAGCGAGCGGAACTTTTCCAGCCGATTAGCGGAAGAAGAAAGCGTTAAATGTCGGCGAAGCGAGTAACGTGCATAAGCGACCGCAATTAATCACACGGTCGCGTGTCATTGCTCGATACCGGCAACAAGAAAGAGGCGATCGCAGCTTAACGCGCTGATCTGAAACTGATACGTCAGTTCCTAGCCGCCGCTCGAAAAACGCGATTAATATTGCATTAGCCTTGGGAGACGTTACGTCTTGATTTCTTCGGCCGCGGATCTAGTAAGTCATCGTTAGTATGCAATTAGATCGCCGTGAATATTTGCATTCACGCATCTGTCATCGCCTTCTCTCCGGTTGCTAGAGTTATTTGCACGTGTAACACGTAGGAGCTGTCACGAACCCTCCGTTAATTTTCCTGTGCAAGTTTCTTAGGACCCTTCCCGTTAATTGGTTGAAACGATTACAACGAATGAAGCCAAATTGCCTTGACTGAATCCAGCACGAAATTATGGAAGATTAATTAACTGGTTCGATATTGAAATTAATATCGCGATATTGCTACGTACGTTTACTGTTACGTCACGTGAACGTACCGGGTAGTATACATTACCGACGCAGTTGAGTTTCATATGAAATCGGAGAAGGATTCTCCTCTTGACATACAATATCGTGTCAGACTCGTAACGAAAATGTTAAACTATATTTGAGAAATCTAAGTGTTATTTTTTTTAATATAATAAATAAAGGTAGACATAGAATAAGAATCAAAATTAGTTCTTTTCCTAATAAATTAATAACGATAAAATAGTTGTATCGATCATGGTTAAAAAATAGGCAACAGGTTAATACGTCAGTAAGTGGTTTTATTTTATTAAGGATATCAGATGTTAATAACTATTTCAATGTGAGGAGAAAACTAAATTCGTAATATATGATTATATATCAACCCTTTCGCCTCTGAATATGAACTTTTCTCCTAAATCAATTAGAGGACCGAGAACATTGATAATAATAATAATTATCCTTTAAACTGTTAGCGATAAATAAAAATTCCCGTGTGGTTCAATTTTTCTTTATCTTTAAGGCGTTTTTTAGCTTTCTGGTAATTTAAAGTGTTCGTGGTACTTATGCGCACCATTTGGGACGAAGGGGTTGAGATCAATCATTTGTTCAGCTCAAGAGAAAGTTATTATCTCATATTTAAAGAAATAATTATAACGTTGTTTATATGTATATGTATTATTGAATTCTCCCCGTTAACAGTGTCAGTCGTTTGTGATTCAATACACTGAGTAATCTGAATTACGTAAAATGTACAACTTAAAACACTATTTGAAGACGTTTTCAACGGAAAAATTCAAGTGATGCTTGCAATATTAATATGCAGTAATGCAAGCAATATATGTATATGTAGCAACTGCGTAAAAATGGTCCTGTGCTAGAGCAAAGAATGCAAAGTAATAGGAGGCAGGAACGAATACGAAACGCTCGTTCAACCGTAAAAGCCAATGCAAATACAGGTTTGCTATTATGCAAATAACGCTCATTACATTGCTACACCGTAAAGTGTAATGCATTTAATATAAATGTAAATATTGCACACAATGGGTTCGGTTAATTAACACATTTAGCTAAGTAGACCGCATGAAACAGAGGAGAATATATAAGTTTCGAAATAATTGTATGGTACTTTCGATATGTTCGTACAAACGTGATTTAAGCTTAATGCATTATTTGACACAGGACCACAAGAGACATTCAAAAAATGAAATGTAGAACTATAAGAATATAATTACATGTAAGAAAATATACGGGAAATTTTTATTTCTTTAAAAAACAATCTTTTTATTGCAATGATTGTTTACTATTTATAGTAAATAGTAAAAATAGTATAAAACAGAAATTGTTCTGTTTCGTTACTGTAATATTTACTATATAACATATCTACATATACAATTAGTATAGGAATATAATCTTCTTTAAACTTTATGCATGCAGATATAATTAAGTAATATATACTCATATTTATTTTCAATTCAGTAATTTTTCAGTGTCTATGTTATTTCTATATAAGTATTTAAATTATGAAGGTGTTTTTGCGAAAGATTTTAAATTAAACTAGTGTATTTATACAGATACAAGACTAGAATACCCTTCAAATCTCAAAAAACATATTGTTTTAATGTTTCTTAAAAAAATTGAAAATAAGTTATTCTAATTGCTTGGTAGTTTTAGTGTCGAACAAATAACAATTAAAACATCTGTCTTCGATTTTTGATCATGAAGCTTCAACCAGTCGTGCCACATTATGTTGACCATAAAACTACCGATCAGTTAAATTGATTTTTTGAAATATCTCTATAGAACCTCTAAGAGTGCATCTATTGACACTGTAATTGATTTACAATTCGGTTTGCGCACTGCAGAAAGAATAAATCAGGAATGGGTCATTTTGAACCGTCTGCTAGTTTTAGTGTTAAACTAAAATGCTAATTGAAAACAGAAGGGGAATTGTTCCGAGAGGCAAACGCTTACAGAGTTACGCAAAACAGTAATAATGGCGGGGGTGCATTATGGAACACGCAGTCGTTCACCGGCTACCGTGCTGTATTCATCGACGTGTTCGTATTCAACGTCAAACTTCTGCCCGGGAAACAGAACTCGTTAGTCAATGCTATTCCTGCCCCTGTTGCGGACGTTCCCCGGTGGGAAAAGAAGGGAAAAAAAGAACGGACGAAGGAATACGTCGGGTTGGTATTCTAATTTAACAGTGAGTCATGCATGCCTCTATAAGGTACGCAGCTTTTCCTAGTGGCGAGCAAAATATGCGCATACGTTCAGCAGGCGAAAAAAGCCACGGGAATAATAAGCGTACACGCCACGGGACGAATATTCTTCGGCTCGAGATCGAATTTCCTCGTCCCGCGATGGTTTTTATCGCTTCAACTTTTCCAAGCGTACAGGGAAAACCACACACCACGATCGTCCGTACGGTTTTTTGCTGTTCGAGAAACAAATTTTGTTATTGTCGTAAATAACGCTGTTTCGAAGGATCTCCATAACGATGCCCGTGCCGCGAATGTTTATGCAAATTCACAATTTTAGCGGTTTGATTGGGAGAAACGACAGCTATACGAAATTTTATTTCCTTTTTTAAGAGACTCTTTGTGTTTCGAGGTAAAATTGAATTTGATTGGAAAATGTTTGATAAAGTGCAATACAGTGACGATGTGTAATTGTTTTAAAGTTTGTTTTGAAACTCGATTTTAATTGAATTCGTATGGACTATTGTGTTTTAGTTCAATCTAAACGTCATATTAAGGTTCACGTTATTGTATAATATATTATAATAATCATTGACAGCTGTTTGAGACGTGTACAGCGAAACTTATTAATTAGAAAATACTATTTTATTTATGAAATTAAAATTTTCATTTCTTTCTAAGAAATAATAACTAACTATATAGTTCATCTTTTGTCTATTGTTTGAATAAAATTTATTGAAAAGTCCCGTTAAAGTTACAAATAATTGTTTTTTATGGAGCAATAAATATTCTTAAAACGATATTACACATGTAGTTATTTTTCAAGTAGTTAATGGATTCCATGTCGCCACTGAAATGTTGAAATTAATTGAATATCATTTGCGATGAAAAATAACTGCGATCGTTGAAATCGAACGGATGTTGCAGTGGTCAACAAAATAAATCGTAATCCCCATTTTAAATATGATGCCTGTCGCAAAGCGTAACTCCAGTGGTCCCTTCTTCGAGTTCGTCCCGGCGTTAGACCATTGACCCGGAATAATTACGGGGCGATCTCAAAGTCTAATTGGATCCGCATGAATTATCCGCGTACATCAAAGTACTTTGCGATGGTTTACTACGATGCTTGCAATGGTTTGACACCATGAACAGCCTTATTAAATACGTAGATACGAATCTTCGCTGGTAGTAAATAAACAATTAATTATAGTATCGATTCGAATATATATTTTCGTAGAATAAAATTAAACGAGTTAATAAGGAACATTTTTACGAAATATTAAGCTACAAAAAAAATGAAATCGAGACACAATATGTTCATTTTAAAAAATTTGTAACAATTGGCATTTTTTACATCTTATTTATATTCTCTATATCCGGATGAAATATTATTTAGCAGTGTGTATTATTATTTTCATTTAACGGTTCCATATTTCTTAATTTAAAATGAAAATTGGTCTCTATTAAATTTAAAAATCAAGCATGTATATAATTTAGTTTCAGAATTCACTGTAAAATGAATTTAAATATTTTATTTGATCAAATCATGGTAGAATTTGTTGAAATTGTAATTAGCAGTCGAAGAAGATGTACAAATTCCCAGTTTACGAGGAAGATCGTTTTAAAATGAAATCAGCAGAAACAGACCAAACAATTCGATAATTTATAATTGAAA